CGGCACCGCGGGCGGGAGCGAGGCGTCGAGCGGGGCTGTGGCGGTGCGTGTGCGCGGCTGTGTGCGGAGCTCTCTGTGGAGGCCCGCGGAGCGCGGCTTGCGGGCTCGGTGGGGGCTCCGTGCGGGGCTGCGGGAGGAGCGTGTGCGGGGCTCTGCGCGGGGCGTGTGCGCCGCGCCGTGAGGTGCTCTGCCGGCGCCGCCTCATTCTCCCGGGGCATGTGGGGGGCAGCTGCTGGGAGAAGACAGCGGTGCCACGCTGTCGGGGGAGGGAGGAAGGGAGGGAGCTTGCCGGGACGGACGTGCGGGCGGAGGCAGGTGTCCCGGGAAGGGGCCCGCGGGAACGGGGAGCGGGGAGGTGGCGGTTTGCGGGGTGTCCCCCGAGCGGGGACAGTGCATGGCGGGGGACGAGCCGCCCGTCCAAGGTCATTCGGTGGCCGCGGGCTATAAATAGCGACGGGAGAGAAAAGGGGCCGCTGCCGCGGGGGCCCGGCGGGATTCCGGGCGAAGAGCACATTCCCGGCTCCCCTGGCCGGGGTGTCCCGCCCCGAGTGCGTGCTCTGCTGCGCCTCCCGGGCGCCTGCAAGCTGTGTCCCACCCAGGGTGACTCCTGAGGGAACTGTGGCACGGATTGTAGTCGTTTGTTTGGTGCTTTGGGGCGCCGCGGTTTTCCCGTACCACAGTTCCCGTTTTAAAGCAACGGTGTAAAGAGAGAATGGCCTTGAGTCGCAGAAATGCGATCCCTAGGTTGGCTAGTCACGCGAGTTGCTTTGTTTAAGAGCTGTCTTACTTAATTTGGAAAAAAAAAAAGAAAAGGTTTTTTTTTTTTTTTTTTTTTTTTTTTTTCTAGCCTGAAAGATAAAGGTGGTGAGGAATGATTGTCTCGTGGCTACTGGCAGTCGACTGGTTCTAAACCTGCTGCGTTTACATGCCTTCTGTACAGTATCATTAATAACTCTTGATTTGTTTTCACATTTGCTGTAGGGGTTCCATACGTGGCAAGGAATTTGTTGTGAGGTCTGGGTGCAATGGCGAGCCTTCTGCGTGTTGCTGTGGGTGGATGCTCAGCTCCTGTTTTTGGCAATGTGTTCCCGCCGAAGGCGTGTTCCGCAAAAGTGCTGTGCTTGCGAATGTTTAGAACCCACCAGGTGCTTGGGTCTCAGGCAGCTCCAAAGCCAGGTAAATTGATTAAAGTACTGTAAGCAATGTTTTATTTAAAACGTGAATTTAAATGATTTCTTTTTTTTTTTTTTCTTTCAGATCTGCATTAGTACAGAAAAGACTTAAAATAGAAAGAACGCTCTTAAATCATGTCAGCAGCATACTTGAGTCAGTTGCAGCACAATTTTAGACTGGCTTTATAGGGCTTACACAGAAGGTGTTTGTGTTTATTATGAATACTTTGGGTCCCCATAGTTTTTGTTTTTAGAGGGTTTGAGCTGCTGGTAATACTTTCCTTGCTTGAAGGAAATATTTACATAAATGCTTTTCTTAGTTCACGTCCCGAGTTCCCCATTAGTTTTGGTAATGCAGCTCTTTCCATGCATGTGAGAGAAAATACAGACCTCACAAAGACAGCATCTTCTAGCATGGGTATATATAGACATTATTATCCCATCCTGAAAAAAATCTCTTAACTTTGTTTAAGAAACACTTACATTGTATCACTTCAAAAAACTATTGGTCTGTATCTTCACAAGTAGGGTTTGTTAGTGTATTTGCACAAATTGCATTTCAGCAGATAATGGGAAAGTTCAGGTATTTTCAGGGAAAAAAAAAAAACCAAACTGGGAAAGGGGGCACCCTTGTTTCCAGTTTCTAACATGAGCCTGGTACATGAAGATCAGAACTGACAATTTTTTTCTCTATTCTATACTGTATATAACCTGACAGTTGGAAGGAAGACTGAAGAATACCTAATGCAGGTTTAATGCTATTTTTGCCCATTGTTACTGCATGGGTCATGTGTCCCTTGGAATTTAGAGACCCTGCTTCTGTGCAGATGTAGGATCTTAGTCTGCAAAAGATTAATGTGGAGAGTTGGACTGATTGCACACATGACATTTGGTTCTTCCGAATCTAGACAGTTGGTAACTACATTAGGTACTCGAGAGTATAAGGAAAGTAGTGCTGTTGGAAACAAAGACACAAAAGTAGCATGTAGTATTTCAGAGAAGCCTGTGTTGTGTAGAATTTGTGGCAGTATTAACAATAAATGGTGCATTTTGTGGTCCTTTCAACTTGGTGACTGAAGATTTTGGGACTTCCGAAGAAATGTCATGAGGGGAAGTTTCTTTGCTCTGAGGGCTCCTGATAAATCTGTATTGCAGTTGCATGCTGAAACCAGAATTTCTTTGATAGATTTGAGATTCTCTCAATTTTTTTTCCATGTTAAATGTCTGAATGAAAGAGACATCTGTCAGTCTTCATATGGCAGATTGTCCCTTGGTTGGGAACATAAACTGGAACATAGGAAACTAGGTTCAAAGTTCTTTCTCAAATATCCCAGGTAAGTGTCCTTGTTTGAATTTGGAATCAATTTTGTATTTGGCTTTGACCACAAATTTCATCATGAAACTAAAGAATCTCTTCTGTTTTACTGAAATTGTTATGCTACTCTGTGAATTTTCTCATTTTTAAGAATAACTTTTGAAAAATTTTCTCACAATTATGGAGAATTCTGATTAGTGTCATGTGTTTAAATGCTCAGTGCTGCCCTGTCAAATCTGTTGTATGGAAGCCTTTATTTAAGGATTAGTAGTATTCATGAAATGCAGTTATTTAATGTGGAGAATTACAAGTTTGGTAGTCTTTTGGTTGATAATTAAGCTGTCCTTGTAGTATGCTTCGGTAACATGTGATTTGTCATTCAGCAGAGGACAAATCAAGGAGAAAACAGCAGTTTAATGACAAATTAGAAGCAGGGCTATTGCTTATATTTACTTTTTAAGTGCTCTTGAATCAAAATGTAACAGATTCAAAATAACTGTGTTTTAGTCTTCCAGACATTAGCTTTGATTTTTGTAACACTTGGTAAAACCACTGTATTACTAAGAAGAGTAAGTTTTCTGAAAATACTAGTGTCACAGTGAATCTTCTTAAGGCTGTAGTTATTACTTTCCTTGTCTTAGGTTAGCTTTCATTCCACCCAGGCTGTGTTATGTACAAGAGCAGTAGCTGCTTGGGGAGAAGAAATATGGAGATACGAAGTCAACTGAAAAGTGAACTTGTAGCATGGATAATTTTTTTACTGCCAGCTATTATGCAGCCACTTGCTTAATAGAAACATAGGAACTTTCATACAGGTGTAAACAGGTATTCCCATAATCTGTGCCAGGTAGTCATTAGGACCAGTTACTTCAGAAATGGACACAAAACTTTCTGAAGCCCTGGGAAAGGTGCATATGGAGTGACTGACTGAGCTTCCAGTATACTTCCAGATTAGTTTGTCCTACAGGTCTGTGACTTTTACCCCTCTCTATTTTGGAATTTTAAATATCCTTTTTATTTTGAGGCTTACTTCTTAAAATTTCATGTTTTTTCTAAACCAGTAACAGTTAATTTTTGGTTAGTTCTCTAGGTAAGCTTTATTTTATTTATAAACCAGAAATATTTTCCTTTAATTTCCCTTTTTAAAAAAAATTCCTTATTTATGTAATAGGAGGGATCAGGTGTTCATTTAATCTTCTGTACCATTTTTTTTCTTTTTTCCAACATCATATTGCTGTTCTTCGGAATATGTCCTCATCTTCAGTGCAGGTGAGATGGTTTGTTTAAAGGTTATTAGAGTAACATAAAAAATAGGCATCCTGTTTTCAATCCCAGAGCACATGGCATATAGTCAAAACTTCTCCTTTATCTTTTCCTTAAGTCACTTTCTATTGGTTGGTACTGTTTTGTTGGAGACTACTTCCCAAAGTCAGGTTAAGGAGATCAAAAAACTGTATTTTCTGCTGTAGTTTGACTTATAATCTTCTCTAAGATTCTTGTGGATAGAAGTTACATGGAGAAAGTCACAGTAATAGTTTTGTTTACTTGAAGTTTGAATATGTCTTCATTACACGGTTAGGATTGTGGTAAGGGAATGAGAGAGTGGCTTCTTACTAGTTTTTTGAAGTTCTAAGTTATGTATATGCCAGAGCATTTCACTGGAATGTATATACCATTCCAAGACCTGTGAAATTTAGTGCTTCTACTTCTGATAGTGGCAGAATCTAAGTACTGTGTATCTTCTACTCAATATACTAAAAAATTTTGTGAGTCAAAAAGGTGCTCCAGGTATGTAATATCACTCAGTGTTTGGAAGATGTCCATGATGTCGTAAAGCAGTAAGTCACTAAAACATACTCAAGGCAGTACTTAAAGAGATTATCTGACATGAAAGATTAGAGAGACAATTTGTAGGCTTCACACTCTCACGTGACTTTAAACCCCTGGCAGGGATAGCAGATGAACTTCCTCAGAATAAAGCCTAAATCAAGGTCCTAAGTTTATGACCCTAGGTTTCAACCTTTCAAAACTATTGACTTTGATGAAATTGCTGAATCCGACAAACCAAATTTGTGTTAATCACAAAGCTTCCTCCAGCTAGAGTATTGATCATACCCTGTTGTTTGTGTCACCACAGACAGGCAGGTGGGACAGCCACAAAGTCATGTCTAGAATCCAAAGGGTAAATTTATTTCCATTACTTCACTAACGGTATTGCTGAAGCAGCACCCAGGCAGAGGAAAACAAGTGGAGACACAGGCACCAGTAAATCATCACAGACCTGCTGTTCACATAGGCTTATCAAGAGTTATTTCCAGCTGAAAGGCAGCTTTGCAATCCTCGCTGCCAGTGTTCCACTTTTTAACCCTTTCTTCCCAAGACCTGTCCTGCAGTTTTAAGACAGATCTTTGGTTTTGAGCTGTAGATATCTGCTCCATTTTGGTGCTGAATCATGTGGAAGCTCAGGGCAGTCTACTTGAAAAATGTCCTATACCTACTCTAGCTAAAAGCTGGCAAACTGACAGGTTGCTTAGGTATTAATTTCCTTTTGTATTTATGGATTACTGGAGTTCTGGTGGTGGGATAGAGAAAAAAAGTAGATGAGGCAAATGGGACTTGCTGAATATTTATCTTGGATTTGGTCTCCTAAAGCTCTGGAGAAGAGCATGTTCCTCAGTGCTGGTCTGTGATCATTCTGTTTACTAAATAAGGTGTAAATACTTTCTATCTGAAAAAGTTGTACTAATTTTTATTGCATGCAAGGTGTACCAATAAAGAAAGAAGTGAGGAATGAGGAAACACATCTGGCATCTAGTGAATGTATATTCCTGTCCTTTTACTCCTAGCCATTTACTCTTCTATTCTGATACTCCACACAGAAGCAAATGAGCAAAAGAAAATTGGAAGCATCTATTGTCATTTGAGCCTTAGGAGCTAAAATATTTGCTTGAGAAATATAAAAGCTTTAGTCAAATGTGTTTGTACCTTTAAATTTGCAATTATCTATTTCCTTTGTGCTATAATTTATTCCTTCCCTGTTTGCTCCTCCTTTCCCCTCCCTTTTTTCCTTCTCCTTTTCACCTTGTTTTTCCCTTCCCCTATTTTCCCCCATGTTTTCCGCCTCCTTTCCTTCCCTTTGGCATTCTTGTGCTACAAAAACTTCCAAAAGGAGAAAGGGAAGGTAGGACTCTAGTTCTTTACTTTTTTCAGTGCTTTTTGAAAAGTGTTTTGCATCCTATCCTACCCTAGAGCTACTTCTTCTCTGAAATTCTGATTGGTCTCTGTTATCCTAACAAATTTCAATCTTCTAGGTTTCATTCCTGCTTCTAAAAGACAAGAGAGCTCATTTCTACCGAGTTGATTTAGTGAAAATCAGAAGCAGGACTTTTTTGTGTAGTAATTAGAAGAGATGAGGAGAAAAGTCTCTTCAAATGACATGGGTAATTTGAGTGACAGCAACAGTTACCACAGCTGGTAACAAGTGGTTAGTGCTGCTGTGGTGGGTATGGCCTGAGTTGCACGGTGATGTTTAGATTTGGTGTATGCTGGTGGAACAAATCATTGCAAAGCTCTGTTACCTTTGTGGATCTGTTGTTTTAGATGTGCATTCTTGCTCCTGTTTTGGCTTTATGTTCTATGAATGTATGTTTTTCTGAATTTGAGTGTTGTCTTGTGATTAAAATATTTCAAATGTTCTCCAACATATAAAACATGAAAACACTTCTATCTTCAAATTATTTGTTACTATTAGTCAAATTTCAAAGGCAAAGCTAAAAAAAAATGTAGAAGTAATTACAATCATAGAATCATTAAGGCTGGAGAAGACCTCCAAGATCAAGTCCAACCTTTGACTGAATACCACCTTGGCAATTAAGCCATAGCACTAAGTGCCACATCCAGTCGTTTCTTGAGCACTTCCAGGGATGATGGCTTGACCACTTTCCTTTAGCAACCCATTCCAGTGCTTAACCATCCTTTCAGTGTAGAAGTTCTTCCTGGTGTCCAACCTGAGCTTCCTGTGGTTCAGTAAAGCCTCCCCTGCAGCAATTAGAAGTAATGAACTTCTTTGTCTGGTGAGCTTTCATTCTGTCTTGTTGGATGTGTTAATTTTTTTTTTTCAGTATGTTAGTAGGTTGAGAAGTATAAGTAGGTATTTAAGTACCAGTTCTTAGCAACTCTGTACTGTTTTTTCAGAACATAGTAAGTTCACAGTAGCTTGAAAATTTCTAACCAAAAACAATTTCAGATTGTCAATTTTAGGCACATTGTAATCCAGGTTCAATTTCACAGATAATTTATTTTGATATTTTAAATCTAAATCTAGTCCTCAAACTCTTATATTGTAGTATGTTTTTAGCTTTTTTTTGCTTGTTTCTATCTCAACGTCAAAAAGGAGGCCTTCCTAAAATTTGCGTTCTTTGCCTGGTACAATTTTTTGTAGCACAATACATAGTATTGTTGGACAATTTAAAAAGAGATTTGTAGTTTTAAACAAGCCTCTCATTCACTTTCTCCCCTTTTTAACGTTTGGGGTTTCTTTGGTGGGTTTTGTTGTTGTTGTTGCTTGATCATTAATATGAGTGACTGCTTAGACTGCTCAAATTATAGTTTATTAATATTCATGTGGTGTAAATGTCTTGCATAGTAATGTCACAATCCAGGTTTAAATTCTGGATAGATGTCAGTGAAAGCTGGTACAGGATTCAGCCTATGTGTTGGACTGCATGGTGTCAGTGTAATTGAAGCAATGTAATAGTTTTATGTATGATTATTCTGCTTGAGCCTGTGTATTCATAAATAATGTATTTAAACACTTGTTTGGATCAGACAAGTTTATCTCCCAGATATGAGACTGAAAGCCGCCAAATTGTACTCAAATGAAGTTAGAAAGCTGCCACATTGTACTTAAATGAAGTTATTTTGTAATTTGAAAACTAACTAAAACCTAAATTTCAACTTCAGCAGTTTCCTGGTGTTACTTAGTGGAGCTTTGAGCAAGTTAAGACAAGGAAATAACTTTGAAGAAAAATACTTTGAAGAAACTAATAGCTGGATATTCCTTTGTTCTTCAACTACTTCTGAATTCACGTTTTTCATTTCTGTGACAACTTTTAGAATACCTTATTGATGTAGTTATGCCTTTCAGTGTACTTTGTGGTGCGTATGTTGCATTCAATGATAGTGATTTGGCATAATTTGATATGCATTACAAACATATTCAGTTAAAATGCAGTTCCACTGTTCAAGCTCATTTATTTCTTTCTTCACAATAACCTGGAAGTGACTAGAAAACAATTTAAATTCTGGCCTGAAGCAGAACATGTTATCACCAATGCACCATGTATTATGTAAATCAGAATGCCAGTTAAACAATTAGAACAGTGTAAACAACAATGAGTATGAACTGCACCAAACACTTGTTATTGCTTGTGTGGCTGATTGTGCTCACCTGCTGTTTGCTGAGAGAACAAGGATCTCTAGGAAGATATTGTAATTTAAGGAAATGTAAACAATGTTCCTAGAAAATAGCATTCTGCTTCCTCCTCCCTTAGGAGGGAGAATTGCTAACTGTGACATGTGTCTGCATGTGTCTGTACAACATTGAAGAGTGTCCATTATACCAGTTAATTAATGTTTAGTACAACTAATGCTGTCTTATCTGCCACTCTTACAGGAATTCCATATAAACAACTGACTGTGGGTGTCCCCAAGGAGATATTTGAGAATGAGAAGAGAGTGGCTCTGTCACCAGCTGGAGTTCAAGCCTTGGTTAAGCAAGGCTTCAATGTTGTAGTGGAATCTGGTGCTGGAGAAGCTTCTAAATTTTCTGATGACCATTACAGAGAAGTTGGAGCAAAGATCCAGGGGACCAAGGAAGTCCTGGCTTCTGATTTGATTGTGAAAGTAATTGCTTTATTAGTATATTTCCTATTACATTGTTTTTGGAGAAATGTATAGGTAATTTTTTTTCTGATAATCTGTGGAAAGTTCAGTAAGTAAGGTCCTTTAAATTAGTGTTTTCCATTTTGAGTTCTGATTCAAGTTCTGGTTTGTTGTTTTTTTGGTTTTTTTTTGATAGCTCAGGCATACACCTACACTAAAAAAAAGTAAATGACAATGTTGAAAAAAATATGGATAATATCTCTAGCAAGTATTTAACTACCTAAGAGTTGTTGTGTTTTCTAGAGTGAGGTAGACTAGTTCTGGAATCTAATCAGATGAGATCCCTGCTCTAAGAAATCTTTTATCCAAAATTGGTAATATATAACTCTAGTTACTCTTTAAATAGCATGGTTTGGGTTTAGAAAATATGATTGTGTAACTTCTCTGAATTCCGCAGCGAAAGTGTGTTTAAAAGACTGAGAAAAGAGCTAAAAGCAGTCTTACTTGAGAGGTCTTAGGTTGTGCAGAGTCCGGAAGGGGAAAAAAAAAGAAAAAGGCCTTTACCTTATTGAGGCTTCCTTCAGTTGCTCTGTTTAAAATTATCCCATCAGCACTGAACATAGAATTTGTGAGAGCTGCTTTCTGAACAATGCTTTTAAGGAGGTTTCTGTTTGGAGAAAAGTGAGAAATTCAGAAGTGAATATAGATGAAGATCAGTGTCTGCTGGACATCTGACATGAAATGCCCTGTATGTAGTCATGCACTGCAACCTTATAATAATGATTCTTAGTTTGTAGAGCTTAGTTGTCATATATGTTGAGTAATCATTTTGCTTAAAAATGGTGGATTTGAGGGTAGCTGTAACAAAAGCAAGTGACTGCTGGTTAGAAGTCATCAGATCTTTGTGAAGGTGTGTGCTGACAATTTTTGCCCTGTCACCAATCCACCTAGAGCCAATTCCATGATGTGGACTGCAGCTGAGAAGTGCAGTTACTCAGTTCAGTTGTGTAAATAGCTTTTGATATACTTTCTGTACTTTTTGGATGGGAATGGACAGACTGCAACCTGAGAGAAAGTAAGTGGAATGTGTTCTGATTTCTTTCCTCTGATTAACTTGGAAACTTCTGTATTTTTCAGGTGAGAGCTCCTGTATATAACTCATGTCTAGGTGTACATGAGGCAGATCTTTTCAAGCCAGCAGCAACCCTGATTAGTTTTATCTACCCAGCACAAAATCCAGACCTCCTGAAAAAACTTGCAGAAAAAAAAGCTACTGTCTTGGCTATGGATCAGGTTCCACGGGTCACCATTGCTCAGGGATATGATGCACTCAGCTCCATGGCTAACATTGCTGGGTATGGTTTTTTTTTTTGGCTTCATTAAGTATAGCTGGTTTAAAATCATGTGCTTTGATGTTAGGCATATCTAATATGATTCTACATCTTTATTTTCCTGAAGAGCTGTTTCAAGCAGGGTGATGTTAAAGCATTTTATGGTTAGCTTTATAGCAGATCAGAGCAATGCTTTTAAAAAAAACACAATTCTTCTAGTTCATTGACTGTTTTGTCTAGTACCTTTTTGCTGTGAACTAAGTTATCTTGAATACAGATTGTCTGTCATGGGGATCTGGTGTTGTTAGGAGCTAACTAACCCAAAGAACACTTAGTGTGAATGCAATTGCCATGGCAGTTACAAACAAAAGATCAAATATTGTCAGACATCTCCATAGAAATATGAATAAAGACTATTAAGCTTGTGTTCAATGGTAAAATACTAAGCTTGCTTTATCCTACACATCCTCTGGTCAAATGTTCATCTTTTAGATTGATGTAGTGAATAGAATTTACTGAATCTGAGAAAACACTGATATGTGTTCATCCTCGATTGACAGTTACAAGGCTGTGGTCCTGGCAGCAAATCACTTCGGTCGATTTTTCACGGGTCAAATCACAGCTGCTGGTAAAGTTCCTCCAGCAAAGGTATGTGCAATTAAACACACACTGTGGTAAAAGAATATGTGAATTTCTGAGCAAAGGTAGCTGTTGCTGAAACTATGTTAAATGGCTTTTTTTCCTGCCTTTGGGCTGCTTTTGAGACTTCAGAAGTTGCAGAAATTATTCTCATACCACTTTTTGTTCACATCTGTTCTGGTTTTGTTTTGGGAATATGAGAATAATTTGAGTTTTATTTAAGATTTCTTAGTTTTAAGCATCAGATTAGCTATAAGGGGTTGGATTTATTTTTTTTCAAAATAGGAGAAGGTAAGGAAGCAGTTAAAAATATTCAGAGATACTGGTATTTCTGGTGCATTGAGGAGTGTAATGGAAAGATTTACTTGATTGGAATTACAGGTGGATTGGGTTAAGAGAAAGGAAAGTAGAATTAAAGAAGAAAAAAGGAAGATAAATCAAGGAGAAAACCTGTGTTTACTTAGATAAACTGTTAGCTACAGAACAGTTTGCTCTTAGATATGTGTAATTAAGAGTTACAGCTTTTAAACTCCTGGATGTATGGGGTAACTCCACCCAATTAAATTTGGTTTTCTTGTAAGGTATCTTGTTTAAATGGATGGTTAATGAGATGTATCATTTTAGGTGCTGATCATTGGAGGAGGGGTTGCTGGCCTGGCTTCTGCAGGAGCAGCAAAATCGATGGGTGCAGTGGTTCGTGGATTTGATACTAGGTAAGGGTGTGAAAATTGTAATATCAATCTGAAATTTCTTGAAGATTAAGTTGTTTATGGCTGTATTAGATTGAAATAATTTGTACTACATTGAGTCATAATTCACTTCCTACCATTTTTATGCCATCATTAGTCCTAAATTTTTATTAATTTTAAAATCTGTCTAAAACTTTTTCATTTTTATTTTAATTCCCTTCTTAAGTACTCTAGATACTTTTATCTTGAGATTCAAGAACATTTATGTTTCATTCTTTGCATGTTGTCACTGTTCACCTAACACTGAAATTTAGTCTCTCTATTTAATGTGATGTCATATGATGCAAAACAAAATACAGAATATTAACAAGCCACAACTTCAAACATCCACCCCCTGGCAATTTTCCCTGTGAAAATAAGACTTATTAGTACTTTCCATCTCACAGTTTAAAGACAAGGCCACGGGTTCTGTGCTTATCTCCCGTTTTAGGCACCTTAGTTTGGGCTGTAGATTTACCAAATCATGACAACAGAAATGCATGAGGAGAGTTAATCAGGAAAGCCTCAGCTTTGAGGTTTTTCTTGAAGCAACTCTGCTGACTATACAGGAAACCATAGGCTGCCTTCATTCCTTGTTGAAGTCTGACTGGAACCTAAATTTATCAATGCAATTATTTTTTGCACTGAATACAGAAAGCTGAGGACTTTTGTTATGGTCTCCTTAATACTAGAATAAGTTTTACTTCTCTTGTCTGAAGATTGCTACTAAAACCACTGGTAAAGTCATGATTTTCAAAGTAGTGTTTTTTCTCTCAACTGCAATTTTCTTTTTCTAGAGCTGCAGCCCTGGAGCAGTTCAAGTCTCTTGGAGCTGAGCCTTTGGAAGTAGACATAAAGGAATCTGGAGAGGGACAAGGTGGTTATGCTAAAGAAATGTCCAAAGAATTTATTGAAGCTGAAATGAAACTCTTTGCCAAACAGTGCCAAGATGTTGATATTATCATCACTACAGCACTTATTCCAGGTATGTTTTATGTGAAAAATGCTAATTTTCTTTCTTCTAGGTAAGTTGTCATATTTTGAGCTTGCATCTGCATGAAAACAGAGGGGTTAATGAATTATATCTGTGTGAGCATGTACCTTTACACTTCTGTGAAAAAGGCCTGGTTTTAAAGTGTGTCCTATTTTTTTAAACAACTTTTGTTTTCATAGACTATCAGTATGAATCAAATATGGCTGTGTTTTTCTTACTAGAAAAGGACTATTTAGTAATAAAGTGAGAATATATAATTCTCTTACATATCTATTGCATCACTGCTACCTCTGCTATACAGCTTGTGCCCTGAAACAAGTCTGATTGAGAACCGTTCTTTTTACTTGAAACATAGTAAGGTAGATGTTAGATTTTACTGCTTTGTGTTGCACAATGTCTGTATTTTAATAGCTGGCCATGTGGTGTCTTTTTAAAAAAATTTTTTGTTATGACTGGAATTGTAAGATTAGATGTTAAGACTGTGGGCTTGCTGGCAGAATTGGACTTATCTTTGGTAGAGTACCATGCATAACTTTCTTGTATGCTTTTGGAGCAGGATGTTCTAGCACTTCTTCTGTCTTTCTAAAAAAAACAAACTTTTGTGATTTTTTTTTATCCTAGGTACCAATTACTTGAAAATTTTGCTTACAAAATTAAAACCTATATGTAGAGCAAAGAGAAGGCATCTCCTAAGCTCAACAGATAGAAAGCTGTATTTTGTGTTTAACTTGCTATGCCTTGTTTTGTCAGGCAAAAAAGCTCCAATCTTGTTTAAGAAAGATATGATTGAATCAATGAAGGAAGGTTCAGTTGTTGTGGATTTAGCTGCAGAAGCAGGAGGAAATATTGAGACTACAAAGCCTGGAGAAATGTATGTTCATAAGGTGAGCATTTTAATCTGCTGTTCATTCTCAGTTCACCTAACTTCTATGCTGTTTTGTAAACTGTATGCTGAAAATAAGCAGCTGAATTTTCAACAGTCTTTCAGCTGCTTTGGGCTGAAGCAGTCCTTTAGAATTGCATTTGGTCACTATTTAAATACATAAATTTGAATATTTTTAAAGAAACTAATACCTCTGTATAGTGTTAATTTGGTTGTTAATGGATATTACAGAATTCTTTCTACTTAAACTTCCTAGTCCAGTATTTGTCTCTTCTGAGTTGAAGGTGGGATTTGATATCTATTTCTTGGTCTATCTAAAAAAACACAGCAGCAGCAATAGGTTCTTTGATTTACTTATCACCTTCCATGACTGGAGGTTAACATTTCCTGTCATAGGTGAAGCTATAGGTGAACACTGAGGTTCAGACTCTCAGTGTTTACTTCAGTACAAAGTCTCTGGCTTACTCAGTACTATTTCAGCTTCAGGAGGTTTTCTTTATCTTCAGCAACATGAGTATCCAAAGCACTTGAAACCCAAAGTACATGTAGCATAAATTGGTTCCTTAAAGTAAGCAGTTTTGGTCTGGACTGAACTACTTTGGTTTTGCTCCAGTGTTCATTTGCTCAGTTGAGATATTGTCTTTCTGCTTTTTGGGTATTGTTTTTGGTGCTTATGGGAAATCTGCTAACAATTACAGAAATCTGGGTGATGAGATTTATAGTAGCAGATTTCCTAGGTAATGCAAGGATATAATACCTTTATTTGGGAAGCCTGTAGGACACTGCTGCCATGGTTGTCATTGACATAAGCAGAATTCTGTTTATATATGTCAAAGAATCACATGTTGCACTTGTCTTTGTGGCTTTCTAGGGCTTTTGATGTCATTGCTTAAAACCTGAAACTAGAGAATGTGGAAGAGAAGTAAGCAGATACTTGCATGAAGGGTTTATATGGAACACTTTTAGTCAGAGGAGTATTACCCCTGGATTTAGTGTACTGGCTCTGTGTTATGGAAAATAGCAGCAGTGCAGAACTATTAGGATTGTACTAGAGCATTGCCTTAGGAAGCCAGAGTTCTGGAAGTGTTTATGGATCTTAGCTGTAAGTTGTGGGAGCAGTGTTTTAACACATGCCTGCTTTTGAACACCTCAGAGTGTATGCCAGCCTCAGCTTCCCATTCCTTCCTAAAGCCTGATATCCTTTAGTTCTCATTAGTTCTTTAAGCAGTGAGGATATATGAGGTTACATTTTTGCGTACATATGTGTTGTGTTGCACTAAAACTCGATAATACACATATGAACTCAGATATATCACTTGCACAGCTCTGAGGGAGCTCCCTTCACTCCAGTGGCATACAGAAAGTTGTCTCCAGTGCCTGCCCTCCAGAAAAACCGAGAAGATGCCAAGCATTAGGTGGATTAATTTGATACCTGATGGATTAAAGAATTTATGTTCTGAGAGAATGTACGATTTGGAGAAGACAAGACAAGCTCTTGCACCAATATCTTCCTCTTTGTGAAGTCTTGTTGCTAAAGAGTTTAAGGTGTTGGATTTGATCATGTTGAATTCTGTAGCTATTGTGAGTGATCTGTCTCTTAGTGTCAGAGCTGCAGATAGCCGATTTAGTTGGAGTTATGAACCAAGATAGTGATACAGTTTGGATAGATATTTCCAGAAGGATATACTGGAAGAGATTATGCTTTTTCAGAGATTGTACAAATCTTTATTATTTTACTTGGATTTTTTTTTCAGGGTGTTACACACATTGGGTACACAGATCTGCCTAGCAGAATGGCTACTCAGGCCAGTACCCTGTATTCTAATAATATTATCAAACTTCTAAAAGCTATTAGTCCTGACAAAGAGAACTTCTACTTTGATCCAAAAGATGACTTTGACTATGGGACTCTGGATCATGTTATTAGAGGAACTGTAGTAATGAAGGTAAGCCAGTAAATACTCTATTCTTAATTTGTGAGTACAGACCTAATGTTTGTCATTTCTGTCTCTTCAAAATGTGTTCAGAGATACTGCATGTCAACAGACTTCACAGGTGGCTTGATCGAGTGTGTGGGTAACTGTGTGTTTATTCAGCTGAAAATTCCTGTTTCTTTTTAGTCTTGTCTTCTTGTCAAGGTTAAAGCTAATGTATTTACTAATGAAAAATAGGAAAAAGATAAAATTTGTGTGTCATGTGATAAAAACATAGCTACTTAAAACATATTTGAGGCATTACCAGACCAAAACATTTTTCCAGAAATGTATTCTTCCTTAAAAAAGAAAAAAAAAGAAAAAAAAAAAAGTGTTCCTTCTGTAGTAAAAGAAAAAAAAAATGGTGAAACTAGAATATTCAAAATACTTGAAGTTTTATCAGAAAATAATAAAATAAAAACTCAGGGCATGGACTTCAGCTCTCCCAGACCATTGAAGTGGTGTGTACAGCTCAGTAGCTCCACAGAGGCCTGAAGATTAACAAGAAACGTCGGATATCATCCTTGGTTCCTATCTGGGGTCTAGAAAGGCTGTGATTAAAGTTCACATCTGTAGCAGATTTTGTTATTTCCAAGACTTTGTTTTATTTTGCATAGATGTTTTCCACTTAAAGAACTTATCTCTTTGCTTTTCTCTTGTTTCTGCTCTGGAGCCTTGTGCTGTGTCTTCACCAGGTACTCTTGGACACTAATATCAAATCTTGTCTGAAGAATGTGTAAACCAGTATGATTAACTTGGTCGTGCCTTGCAAACTTCTGCTGATGCAACAAAAGAGCCTGTTCCTGGGCATGGCTGTAGATGTTAGCACTTGCCTGAGTTGCAGGATTAAGAAGAATAGGCTTCTCTAAGTACTAAGTATCTGCCATGTTAGGCGTAACTGTAAATATCTCTTGTCAGGATGGCAAAGTGATTTTCCCAGCACCTCCACCAAATAACATTCCTCAGGGAGCGCCAGCGAAACAGAAGACTGTAGCAGAGTTGGAAGCAGAAAAAGCAGCTACTGTTACACCTTTTAGAAAAACCATGACTACTGCATCTATATACACAGCAGGTAGGCAACTAGCTGGAGAATCAGTGTAGAGTACTTCTCATTTGACTAATATTTTTGAATGACCCATCATCTAACTTATTCAGTTGAATATCTATTTGGGAGAGCAGTTGATTGGCTGGTGTATCCTGGTACAAAATCAGTATAGTGTAAGAATTGCTTGAGAGGGAAAATAAAACTTCTGAAATTTTACCAGAAGTATTTGACATTTCAACAAGTGCTGATTCTCTGTGCTGATTCTATGTGTGTTTGACTCTACTTAAATATTAGTAAAATGCTTAAAATTCTGAAGGACTCCTGCCAGGGACTGTGCCCCTACTTTGCAGCAGAATCAGTTCAATGTCTTTGCTTTCTTCAGATTTTACTGTATTGTGTGAGACTTAAATGAACCACATCTACCAAAGTGTTGGAAATAGGACTTTGACATCATTTCATTTGTTACTCTCACTGTATCAGAACTTTTGCATGAAGTAATTAATGAATTCAGTAGTCTTAATTTTAATCCTGTTCTTCATACATATGCTTTGATACATCCAAGCAATATGTCAACATAATTGTGACTTGCACATTTTTTTCTATAGAACAGGAGAGTGACAGAATTCAGTGTTGGCATAGAAACCTATCTTTGCTGCATTGTGTCCATGCATAACAAATATGTTTGGATTATATTTATGGCTTTATTTTCTGTTACAAAGGAAAGATTAGCAATGAAACAACTTAGTGTTTTTGAAAAATGATCACCCTGATTTTGAAACTAGTCCATGTAGAGAGCTCCATTTTGCTTTTGTGTCAGTACTAGGCTCCTGTTTTATACAGTTTAAATGTAAGAAGTCATTGAAAAGTTACAGAGTTTTCCTGTGCTTTCCTTCTAGGTTTAGCTGGTATGTTAGGACTGGGCATTGTAGCACCTAATGCTGCTTTCACACAGATGGTGACGACGTTTGGCCTCTCTGGGATAGTGGGGTATCACACAGTCTGGGGTGTGACTCCTGCTCTGCACTCCCCACTCATGTCTGTGACTAATGCTATCTCAGGTAAGTGGCTGTCACAGCTGCTTGTTTTCTACATGACGTAGGCACAACTCCTTTTACCTGAATTAGTACTGCTGTGCGTGTTTGAGTTTACTTTCATAAATAGCAAGGACACCTGAAACAATAATTTCTGAGAGTATGATTTATTCAAAAGAAAAGCAAATGGGATGCTGTATCCTTTTAATTTTCATAAGTAATTTTTACACTTGACCTATTTGCTTGAAAGTTTGTTTTACTTGGGGTGGTGCAGTGTCTTTTCATATATTTCTCCCATCTCTTCAAAAGATTGCCCTGCAAATAACTAACCTTTCCTATTTTTTACATTCTTCTATTCATCTCCTCAAACAATGTGTTTTGAGAGAGAGGAAAAAAGAAAATAAATCCTAAAATACCCATAAAATTAGTGATTCTTATAAGTAAGATTGTATGTATCTGTGTTTGGTTATATGTGGATCTACTTTGGTTATTATAAACAAAGTTTCTTTTATTGAACAAGTACTAGGCTTGAGGCGCTGTTCTTCAAAACTGCATTCATGTACTCATTTTTTTTTTTCTTTTGAAACATGTTTGTATTCCTGAAAAAGACCGTGGTAGTCTTTTTTTAAGCATAAATGTGTGAAATAGGGGTCAGAATTTGAGTTGACTGTATTTGTCCAACAGTTGAAAGGAAACTTCCTATAGGTGTAGAGCCTTTTGAGGTTACACAGTAACCTTTTCCAGTAACACTTTTATCTCTTTTAAATAGGTCTGACTGCAGTTGGTGGGCTGGTACTGATGGGAGGACACTATCTCCCTCAAAACATTTCCCAAAGCCTAGCAGTGCTTTCAGCCTTTATATCTTCAGTCAATATTGCAGGTATGAATGTTAGCTTTTCTCCTGAAGATAATTTCAAGTACTAGTATAATTTTTAAATTTCATCTAGTTATTTAATTGTATAATTCCAGAAATACTGGTCTGAGAATAGAATCTGTGAGCATTTATCAATAAAAACCCATTAGCCCTCCAATTTTCACAGTAGTTATTTGTAGGTATTTTGCATACCCTGTGGAGTAACCTATTTTAGGAATTATTTAAATGTGCATTTTCCTTTCATAAATTTGGGTGATGATTATATACAATATATTTTCCTGTATAGCCCAAGAGGGTAGTTGTAGAGGATTTGTACTTGTATTAATTTTCCTACTTGAAGTACGTACTAGTAGCATAGAACAAAATTCTGTTTTCTCGAGCTTCAGAAGTCCTAGCTTCAATAATAAAAAGGCAACAAAGTGAGCAATGTGGCTTAAAACTAGTGCTTTTGCTAGAGCAGTTTGGGAAAGAAACACAGTCATAAACTAAGCTGTATCCTACAGTCAGTATACAGTATGAAGCCAGAGCAATTCCTCCTTTTCTTCTGAATTTCTTCCTAAGGCTAAAAGAGAGAGTAAGATCTAACGCTGATTATACGTTTGTTTCCTGGTAGTTTTCTAGGTTACTAGCTTTATTGGTTGCTGAATTCTATGGTAATATGGTATCATACTAAATATTTCTCTTATAACTTGGCATGTGCTTGATTTCAGATTTTATTTTTTTAAGATTGTTCCTTTACTTTGTCCAGGTGGCTTTTTAGTTACACAGAGAATGCTGGATATGTTCAAACGTCCCACAGACCCTCCTGAGTACAACTATTTGTACCTGCTCCCTGGTGGTGTATTTGTAGGAGGCTATGCAGCTGCTCTCAGTGGTGGCTATAACATTGAACAAGTAAGAAGATAACTTCATGGCTCTTAGCCCAGTGCTCAGTGTTATGTTTCTTCATGCCTGTTCTGTGGAGGAGTAAATAACAAATAATCCAAGGTCTTTCCATCAGCTGCATGTTCCCACAAGGCCAGTCTGAAGCTGATTAACTGTAAGCTTGTAGCCACATAGGTAACATACTTTAAAAGCTCTGTTGTTGTTTAGTTTTGTGTTAACATAGCAGGTGCTTTTATTTATTGGACTGGTTTCCTAAACTGCAGTCTAAATAATATGGTAACTACAGAAATCAGTCTTTGTTTTAAATGTTTCTGAAAGTTCAACTTGGCATGACAGTTAAAAAAGGATGGGATCAGTTTTCAGCACAGAGGGATGTATAGGAATTTTACCGATAACACCTTTTATAGTAAACTTTTGTTTACGTTTGTTTTAATAGTAAGAAAAATAAATTTATATTGCCTTGTGCATTTGGAAAAAGTGAATCCAAACATACTGTTATGGCATGGGCTTGCAATGTATTTGTGTTTTGTCAATTATCTGGACATATATAACTCAGTTCATATAAGTTTGTTTATACTTTTTGCAAACAACAGTTATAAAATGCCACAGAATCATTAGTGTAGGAAAAGACCTTTAAGATCATCAAGTCCAGCTGTCAGCCTTGCACCACCACCATGGTCACCACTAGACCATGTCCTCAAGTACTACATCCAAAAGTTTTTTGGAACACTTCCAGGGATGGTGACTCCATCACCTTTCTGGGCAGCCTGTTCCAAAGTTTAGCCATGCCTTCCATGACCTGATATCTAATATAACCTTGCCCCTGAGCAACTTGAAGCCATTTCCTCTTGTCCTCGCACTTGTTACCTGAGAGACGAGACCAATTCCCACCTGGTTACAATCTCATTTTGAGGAGTTATACAGAGTAATAATACAGTCTCCATTGATCTTCCTTTTCTCCAGACTGAACACCCTCAACTCCTTCCTCATCAGACTTGTGTTCCAGGTGCTTCACCAGCTCTGTTGCCCTTCTCTGGACTTGTTCCAGTGTCTTTATTGGAGTGGGGCGTCCAAAACTGGACATAAGATTGAAGGTGTGGCCTCTCCAGTGCTGACTGCAGGGGAAAGATCACAGTTTTACTCCTTCTGGCCACACTCTTGCTGGTAGTTCAGAACTATCTAAACTATTTCTTAGTTCAAATTTGCCATAAAAAAATTCTGAAACTATCCCTATAATGAACAGGACCATATAGCTTTAGATTTGTGCTAAAGGAAAGGTTGCTTCTGAACTGATGAGGAAAATTGGTTTGGCTTTAGTTAATATTCATTCTGCAGATAAAAAAGGGTTACCAAGTGAGGGAAAAGCTTTATAGATATCACATTTTAATTGGCCAAAACCTCATCCTGTCTGACAGTTTCTTGATTTTAATTAAGAATTGTGACTTAAACACATTCTGGAGAAATCAGCCATTTTGTGTAATTATCAGAGATGTTTTTGTAGCAAGGCAATTTGTGACTATGTCATACTGATGTTTTTTCTTATTTTAAAGGTGATGTATCTAGGCTCAGGACTGTGCTGTGTTGGTGCCCTGGCTGGTTTGTCTACCCAAGGAACAGCTCGTCTTGGAAATGCTTTGGGTATGATTGGTGTTGCAGGAGGTTTAGCCGCAACTCTTGGAAGCCTTAATCCCTCGCCTGAATTGTTGGCACAGATGTCAGGTGCAATGGCACTTGGTGGGACCATAGGTATGAGTATGATGAACTAACAACCTATATTCTGTATATGCATATATGAAACCTGTATGTACATAAAATACTGTATAGCTCCCAAGTGAATTGACTAACTGACATTTGTGGCTTGTGCAAAATTATTTGGCGAATGTGTGAACAAAACTTTGTAACTTTCATGGCTTTTATTAATGCTTCACAATGTGATAAGGAATGAGCTGACTGAAAAGTGGGACCACATCATCTCTGATAGGGAAACTTGTGTCCAGAGGTAAATGATCTTGCCCAGCTTTATACTTCTGTTCAGTTCCTGACCAACTACTGCCAGATTTTCTCTTTCACACTGTGCCTTTGTCACAGAAAACAATGAATTTCTCAATATTTGGTGAAGCTTCTTAGCACATGATGTGCTTTAATCTTTCTATTTTTCATGCACAAAATGCACAAGTGCAACCTTTTGTTCAATGTCATAGTGATTTCTAGTTGGAACAGACTTCTGTAATCATTGCACACTGAACCATCCTGTACTAATTTCTACCTGAACAGGTGGGCTGTGTTTTCTAAGACTTCCCTTCTGTCTTCAACTCTCAATAGGTTTGACAATTGCTAAACGCATCCAGATTACAGATCTGCCTCAGCTAGTGGCTGCTTTCCACAGTTTGGTCGGTTTGGCTGCTGTGCTCACCTGTGTAGCAGAGTACATGATTGAATATCCTCACTTTGCCACTGATCCTGCTGCAAACCTCACCAAGATTGTGGCATATCTTGGCACATACATTGGTGGAGTGACATTTAGTGGCTCTCTTGTTGCGTATGGAAAACTGCAAGGTAAGACCTTCTGTTCAGAATTAAATATTTGTTAAAGGGTTTTTCTTCCCCTGGAATTTAGCTCTACTTTTAGACTGCTATGTAATTGGAAAAAAACATTGTATTTTGGACCAGGTAAAAGTATATGTGTAATTTTTAAGAGTGTACTTTTTTGTTTCTAATTCTGTTAATTTGTGCACAGCTTTAGTTATGAAAAGTTGTCTTCAGTGCTTTGACATATTATTATTATTCATCTTGTCTAGAAATAAGTGTTGCTTTGGTGTTAAAACACTACTTGATGCTTTTTCTCGAATTCATTTTATCAAACTTTTATGATCACAACTTTGTATTTCTGAACAGACATTTTGGTTGAAACTCTCATATTGCTGGATTCAGTGAGCACTAGTAATACTTCCAGGATTTTGTTCTTAACACTGCAATCTTCATTAAGGTAGGCAGCCTGCACTATTGAGGCTGCCTCACTTTAAACCATTCAGTTCACTGTCTGTTTACCTACTGCTCAGACTCCATGTTCCACGCCTCTTGCTGTTTGAGCAAATATGTTTTCTAAGTTAAATACTCACTAATTCCTGATTCTTGTGCATGTGAAGGTTTCTTTTTTTGCATTTATTTTTGGTTTTGTAAGCACACAGCTTTTGAGAAGCTGGTAATACTTGTACTAGGAATTTCAGGCTAACCTGCCTGCCTTTCAGCTTCCTATACTAATCCTGTTGTTAACTTTGCAATAGTTCCTTTGGGAAACATCTGTTTGCTTTCTTCAATGTTTGTGAGACCAGCCATTGAAGGAGGAAACATGACAAGGATGGAAAGCTGTCTTCTCTAATAATCTTTTGAAGGATTTGTCAGTAGTATGTATTTCTGATGTATCTCTGCTAAGTAGTTATTAATTTATTTTTTCTGAGTTACTTTTCTCTCTCCATTGTACCCCCTCAGTGATTTGTGCACATGTCCCTGGTAAACTTCACTGCCTCTTTGAGCTTGCTCTCCTATTTCTGTTTACTGTTTTCTCCCTTGCATTTTCATGTCATCATGGTATGAAATATGAAGTTTGTCTCTATTAGCAAACTACTGATCCTATGGTATGGACGAGGGTAGTAAGTCACACACTTTGACTCCTCTGGCTGAGACCATCAATTCATTCTTTCCCTTGAATTCAGCTTTTCACAAATTTTTTATGAGAAAATTAAAATGAACGAAATGAAATGGAAATGAATGAAATTAAAATGAATTTTAAATGAAAATTAATTTTTTTCCTAAAATCTAAATGAGACACTTATTTCTGATGTAAGTAATTACTGGGAAGCTTCCATTGTTTCAACCCTTTGTCATGTGGTTTGAAAAAAAAACCCCAGTATGAAATAAATGTGACTGTCTTTTTGAACTGAATCACACAAATACTGAACCGCCTTTTCCCCTCAAGTTTCTGCAGATGTGGGAAGCTGTGGGAGTTCCGTATGACTGAGGGTAGTTGTGAAATTAATGCATTTGAAAACAGGAATGTTTTGTACTTGGTGTGATCTGTGTAGTCATATTTTTTTAAGCACACAGTTTTTGAGAGACTGAGATAATCCTTGTGTAGAAATTCCAGCTAAAAGCTTCCTTCTACTGTGTGTCATATTCAACATAAAAAGACCTGGAGACAAAGTGGAATGGCTTTGTTGAAGGAAAAAGAAAAAGGCTTTTCAAAAGGAAAATAGATTTTTCTAACTATTCTGGAGCACTTCAGTGAAATTAGGAAGTAAATAGAGTTTAAAGAAGAATATTTGAGAATCTAGAGGAAGGTTGAATGTCTTGCAGTTCTGAGTCAGCAGAAGATCTCAGCTTCAACTAACTTGTTTTATCTTTTACCCCTCCCTTTTTTTCTTTTTTAATTCTTCTTTTTCTGAGTTATTCATCTCTGAACTTAAGCAACAGGTTTCCTTTAATGTACATGTTCACGTCTGAAAATGTGTGTGATTGCAGGTATCCTGAATTCTGCACCTCTGCTCTTGCCTGGTCGACATGCATTGAATGCAGGATTGCTGGCTGCCAGCATTGGTGGGATGATACCCTACATGATCGATCCTTCTTACACCACGGGAATTACTTGCCTGGGTTCTGTGTCAGCACTCTCAGCCATAATGGTAAGTTGAGGAATAGTAGAAAGTGAAACAAGTTACACAAGGAGTTTATTTTCCAGTCCTGCAAGTTTCCTCTTTATGCATTATATTTTACCATCCTGAGTCACAGTGGACATGGTGCCTGCCTGTGTAGTAACTTGCAGAAACAAGTAGCAACTGACTTTTCTAGATCCAGCTGTAAACCAGAACTGTTCCAGAGAACTGGAATTCATTTTTATACTTACTTTTTGTGGCTAGTGATTAATGAAGCTTTTTATATGATAGACTGATATTTGAGAAGACTTCTTAGAAAGTCAATCCCTAAAATACCTAAAAGAGCTCTGGATTTACAGATTATTATGGTAACTTCTTGAGATGACTTCCATGTGTAACTTCTGCCATTCACTTTCACCAGTGTATGCCAGTGTTGCAAAATTTAGCTTGAATATTGCCATTCTGTAAACTGAGTCTTGCAAAGACTGTTCAGTATGAATGCCTTAATGGTATGAACAGTTCCATGTAGCTGGTAGGATAATTTTGCAAGTGAAGAAATGTGACTAAGCAGAGCATGAGTATGGTGGGGTATCTTTCTGTCCTCTCTGAAAAGGCAGATTGGGTAAGTCCAATCCTCAGCTGAATACCTACACTGACAATACTTGAATAGGCTCTAAGTAACTTGATAATTGCTTAGAAGGGTTGTGGATGTCCCATTCTTGGAAGTGTCCAAGACCAGGTTGGTTGGGACCCTAAGCAACATGATTTAGTGGGTAGTATCGCTGCCCAAGGCAGGGCAGTTGGAACTGGCTGATCTTTAAGGTCCCTTCCAACATAAACCATTATATGATTCTATGTTTATTTTTCAGTGCTGAGTGTCTTTTCTGGGTGTCCTCCTTAGTCACTGCTGATGTGAAGTACTTTCTTTCCTTCTCCAGGGTGTCACTTTAACAGCAGCTATTGGAGGTGCTGACATGCCTGTAGTTATTACTGTCCTGAACAGTTACTCTGGATGGGCTCTGTGTGCTGAGGGCTTTCTCCTGAACAACAATTTGCTGACCATTGTTGGTGCACTCATAGGATCCTCTGGGGCCATCCTCTCTTACATCATGTGTGTGGTAAGAAATCAACAGAAACTCTGCTTGTTTGCTGAGTAATGAAAAGATTTTTAACCATGTTTTTTAGGAAGATAAGTCATTGGATCTCAAACTGTTAGATGTTTATAGACTAGAAAATTCTTGATTGAACTGTTGGACTAGATGTCAGTAATTATACTTTGTTTGGGTGAGAGACCTTAAAACTGAGGAAAGCCCTCGCATTGACTTAAACATTAAGGATTTGAATCTGGGCTCAAAGAAGTATGATTACTTGTGGTCAGCTATTTTTTTCAGTCATACAGCTTCAGAAAAGTGGTTAAATTTAAGCTAGATTTAATATGTAGCAGGAGATACTTTAAGAAGTGTGTTCGTTGGTTAGGCAGTGATCTGCAGTTTGGTTTTTGGAGTGCAGAAAGGTGTGCTCTTTTCTTCAGAGCAGCTACTTTGGAGTACCACCGGGTGGCAGCAGACCTGCACGAGTTCAGTGCTGTGTGTCGGCAAGCTTGAGCTTCATCTCGGTGTGAGACTTGTATTGTGCTATTAGTAATGACCTCCTTTTCTCTGGAACATTTGTATAAAGGCCTTGTATTCAAAGATGGAGAGGTAGTGGTTTAAAGAAAACCGTTCGCAGTGCAAGAGCTGCCAACTTTCTCATTCTGTTGTGTAATCCTGCTTCATTTGTGCTCTTGTGTGATCGGTGCCACTGTTCTCCTGTCTGATGTTTTCATCTGGTCAGCTCTGGAGATCATCTTTTACTTCATCTCCACTGGTAATTAGTACTGTTACCATGTTAGGAATGTTCAGTATCATTCTTGAGGAAAAATTTTAGAAAAGCTTAAAAAGGTATTCTTGTGCAACTACATGAAAGTAAGTTAAAATTCACAACTGAATTGCAAATAATTGTGTTCTTTCTTGAACACTTTCTATCTCCTTATCAAAAGGAAATCAAATTATGTGTCTCATATATTTAGTTGTATACATTCAGGAATTTAGTCCATATCAGTGGAAAAATAGTGCTTATGGGTAACACAGGTATAAAAACTCCGTTAATAATCAAATTCTTGTAAACTTTAGGGAAAATGTGAACTGTGTGGTGTGTATTTACCAATAATCTATCTATACCTTCGTTTTTGTTTTAGTGTCTCCTTCCTTTCTTAATATTGCTCACCTCTCTTAGCACTCACAAGAGAGTTTTGAAATAGTTACAGAGTTGGTTGGAGGAACCTAGGTAAATAGGAAGCCTGGGGGAGTAGTTAACAAAATAGTTAAGCAGTGACAGAGTGGTTTTCCCCAGTGTTTCTCAGATTACAGGAAGTTTAGTTTTTGAGGTAGCGTCTAGAAATCTTGTGCTGCTTTATATAAGCTTAGACAACTGAAGTTTATCAACCAGTAAAATGAAAATTATTTTGTATGATTTCTGTCCAGTAAGCAGAATAACATGATCTTAGTCGAGAATTTTTCTTTTCTACTTTACTTCTTTAAAGGAAATCATTACTTTTAAAAGCATTGTTATAATCAGGGGATTCAGTATCATTGTCTTGAAGCTGCATTTCAGGAGAAGGAAATGCTCAGGAGTTTCAATAAATTCTGCTCTTGGTGTTTCAACCTGCACTAATGAAGCAAAAGTTTCCTCTTCCCAGTTTCTGGTTTGTTTTTTTTTTTTTTTTTAGGTATTTGTGGAAACATCTTAGTAGTTGAAACCTTATTTTTACAATATTTTTCAAATAATTTTTGTGATAAAACTGTAACTTAATTGTCCAAAGGCAGTCCAGCTAATCTCTTAAGGCCTCAGATGACAACTGAGTTAAGGACAGAGAATTTAACTTCAAAAAGCAAAGGCCTGTACTGTTTGCTTATCCTGTGAATTGTGACTCTTTTAAGACACCAACACAATGCATCTTATTCAGAACATTTGATTGTTAGCATGTCCTTGTCCCTCCTTTTTTCCCTGGAGGGAATACTTGATGATTGCAATTTTGGAATTAGAATCATTATGGGATGCAGAAGAAACTTAAGGTTGAAGAGGAACCATTAATTGGGTTGATGAAACAGAGCAAGAGAGGGGACAAACTGTGTTAGTCTTAAAAATTGTATGCTGGCCATTCCTGTGTACTAGCTGTGAAATTTCTATGGGCACAGTGGAAGCACTTGCAGTTCTCAGGATTCAGGTATTTGATTTTCCCTGGACTGTAAGCTCATGACCGTTGTTGTTACTTGCCTGTGCTCAGCACAGTGGCCTTTTTGCCACTTGTTGGATTATCAGTGAGTGATGAAGCTTGCACTTATATCTCTATATTTGTGGTCTGTGGTGGAAGAGGCTATAGAAGACTTTTCTCACTGACCAAGATATGTTGATTAACAAATGCTTGATAAGGTCTTGGCTCTTCTGTGCCTTCCATATTTTCTCTTGGAAGTTCTTGGCTCTTTGCGGTGAAGCCTGGCACAGGTGCTTCAATCTCTCTTGCTTTTAGCTGATTCTCGGATTTCTAATAATATTTTCTTTTCTTTTTTTTTTTTCCCTATGACTTGGTCTGACTGTTGTCTTTTGGTTTAGATATGTGTAGAAAATTCTCTGCTTCCTGTAACCTTGGCATGTACAACATCTGCAGAGGGTGTTCTTCTGTCTAGGCTGTCCTACCTAACACAACTGCTGTAATGTTGAGATAGATGCCAAGGACAGTGTGTTCTTAGGGCATGTGAACTACTGTGTGCTGCAGACAATAAAAAATGTTGATTTCACTGTGCTTGTGTGCATCCCTTACAGTATCTGCAACAGTGGTGACTTATAAGGAAAGGTAGAAGTTCTAACATCATCGTCTTGCTTATTTGCTAGATAATAAATTTCAAAGAATGGCACATCTTCTAAGGCTATAGCAAAAAAACCTGTGGAACTGCATGGTTTGAAATGCCATTGGAGAATGGACATCTGGAGGCACAATTTTGTGCTTCCTCCTACTTATATTTGTGTCTCTCCAGATCTAGTCCTAAATTTTGTCATGGTTTCCCAGCTAGTACAGAAGATGTATGACTCATATGTGTAATTAAAGAAGCATTTTATCCTCTTCCTTTCCTGCTTCTAAAGTTTTTTCTCCCCTGCAGTTACAAGCTTTTCCTATTTCCAGTTATTGACCGATATTGCTTTGGGACCACAGTCACAAGTAGACATGCCAAAGAAAGCATTTAGCCAATGGCTTTTCCTGGCTGTCTGTCTAATGGAGCCAGATTTTCAGGGTGTGTTCTTCTCTTAAACCTTCTAGTTAAAATCTCTTGTTTTCCTTTGGTGGTCAGCCAGTAAGTCAATGGCCCCCTTCAGTTCTTTACAATGTGGCTGGTTTTTTGTGGCTGATTAGCTGCTTTTGTGTTTTCCTGTTTAGTTGCTGTAGCAGTTTTGTTTCAGTACTACCTGTAAGAGCTTTGTGGATTCTATTCTGTCATGGAGCAGTCCTGTGTTTACATGTTGAACTGGTTAAAAACTATGGAAAATGTCTTGCAAAAATGTGTGTATATACCAATGTAAAAAAATTCTTAGAAACTCTGTCATCCAACATGCATTCTTTTGTATTCTTCCCTTTTAAGAACAAAAAGAGACCAATATTTGCTATTTGCATAGTTTTGTTCTTTGTTTTGGAGAAATATTGGCGCTCTCCTGTTGCGGTGCGTTTTGAGGTGGGGCCCACTACGTGTGTAATGTAATATGTTCGAAGCTGATGTTTGGTGATGGCTGTGGTAGACTGTTTTAAACAGCCTGTTTTAAGAGTCTTTGGGTTATAAGAAGGAAAAACCAGCTTATAAAGACTGTTGTCAGGAAGCCTTTAATATTTTCAGAAATCTTTTTCAGAAGTTTTCTGTGTGGACTCTCACCTTTATTTTTGATTTCACCTTTATGATCAAAACCATCCTGTCTTTTAGGCTATGAACCGTTCTCTTGCAAATGTGATTCTTGGGGGCTATGGCACTGCATCAACAGCTGGTGGGAAACCCATGGAAATTACTGGAACTCACACAGAAATCAATGTGGACAATGCAGTTGAAATGATAAAAGAAGCCAATAGTATTATTATTACTCCAGGTAAGACTCTCTTGACTTATACAGCAAGATGTTCAGAGGGTGTAATTAAAAAAAAATATCCCAACCAAGCAAAAACACAAAAAACCAAAAAAAAAAAAAAAAAAAAAAAATAGCAGTAAAGAGGTTGCAGCATGGCAGCAGCATATCAAATGTTCATTGGGTCCATGTGATTTGTTTTTGTTCCCTGGTCAGGTATGTACCACTTAATTTTTCTTTATGTGTGTCCTCAGAGTTTGTCCTCTTTATTTGCATTTTAAATTCTTCAGAGCAAAGACTACCTTTTGTAAATTAAGCTTACACCACAACAGCTATACAGAAAATTAACTGAATTTCCAAGCACAACTACAGTACCAGTGGTACCAATTGTACCAACAGATCTGTTAAATCCTGAAAGACAGGATTTTGTTTACACTTCCCATGTACTTGCTCAATTTTGCATTTGTTTATGGAAAAGAAAGGCCAAAAACCCCCATCCAAAATGTAGTTAATTAATATAAATACCGTAATTAAAGTAAAAAAACCCAACCTGAAAACCAAAACCTGAATTGTCTGAAATGATTATGTTGGCTGTTCATGTCATTTAGTAGTATGTTCCCTGAAAGGAAAATTCAGGTAGGGGACAGCTCAAGACTTCTCCTTCAACTGAATGGCATGACTATCATGTTAAACTCATTTTTGCACTGGAATGTGAAGAATGCTAAAATACAAAGCTATCCTTCATTTTGCTTCAACTTTAAAGAGACCATCAGTGAGGTAGGGTTCTCATTTGGTAAGCTACCTTCATTTCTGATGAAGCTTGCAATCATCTTCAAGGAGTTTGCCCCTTTCTCCTGTGGCCAAACCTTGAGGACACCATTAGTAATGTATGCTTTTTATTTTTATCCTGGGTATAGTTGCTCTGATGTATTAGCTCAGAGAGACTGAAAACATTATTTGCTGCTAAAAGCCGTATGTAGCTGCTAGATTTGCATGAAGCAGATTGAAATTCTGTTGAGGATAATGGTTGTGAAGTAACCTGACAATTGCCCTTTTATCAACTTTTTAAAGTACCTGTCTGAAACATAGAAAGGATGATGTCTTTTTGTAAAGGTGAAATAAGTGCTCTTATAGTTTGACTGGTCAAATCACTGCAATGTAAGTGGTCAGGAAGTTAAAAAAAGAGATTAATTACAGTAGTCAGGCTGGGAATGTATGAGAATCTGATGTGTGTTTTTTAAATTTCTTTCTTTAATTTTTAATTATGAGAACATCTCTATGTGGAAGGTACACTTATTGTCTGCAACTAGTCTTTCTGCACTAAAACAGGAAAATAGGTTAAAATTTTGAAATTCTTTCAGGTTATGGTTTGTGTGCAGCAAAAGCTCAGTACCCAATAGCTGATCTGGTGAAGATGTTGAGAGAACAAGGGAAAAACGTCAGGTAAGTGCTTTCCTTGATGAGAAGTATTACAGGTGGTTTGGTTTGGTTTGTTTTTTTCATTCCATTAAAACCCCTAGTTTTGGTTTAACGTTTTTTTCAGCATTGACAGAGGCACAGAATAGCTAAGTTAAGGATGTCTCTGGAGATTGTCTAGTTCATCCAGCCCCCTTGCTTAGACCAGAATCAAATGGGGAAGTTGCCTAGAATCTTGTCCGATTGGATTTTGAATATCTTGTCTGCAGAGATGGAGACTGACAGCTTCTTTTGGGCAGTTTCTTATGATGTTCAGTCATCCTTAGGGTAAAACCGTTTTTTTTCTGTGTTGCAATTTGCAGCCATCACCTCTTAGCCATTTCCTGGATATCCCTGAAAAGAATCTGGCTCTATCTTTTTTATTGCCCTCCATCTATATTTATACACAGCGATAAGATTCTCTTGATCCTTCTATTCTGCAGGCAGAAGAATCCCAGTTTTCAGCCTCTCCTCTTATGGCAGATACTCCAAACCATTAAGTAATTTACACCTACACTTCTGGGGTTCCTGTAAGATTTTGCTATTGCAGACAAGACTGCTATTAGAGTTTTTTGAGCACCTCATGAAAGGATTATGGGAGTGCACGTCTCCAGTCTCATGAATTTATTCTTCTGGACTGCTGCTCCAAAAACAGAGATAATTCTTAGATTTCCAGTATTGGCCTCAAGTCCTTTCCTCCTTCAGCTTTTCTGTAGACTTTATAAATTCTGAAAGTCCTGGAAAGCAAACATTGTCTTTCTTGCTGATTGTTTGAAATTTTGTTTCTTTTGTAATTATGATAACTTAATATTTTAAAATCGGTTGAGGCTAAGTTTTCATTTTGAACAAGGTATTTTGGCAGATGCTGGTTAGCCAGACTCATTCTCTGATTTCCATATGTTTATTTCAATTAGATGGTGACTTCCCTTTGGAATCATTCCTCTAGTAATTAGGGTTTTTTGGTTTTGTTTTTCTTCTTCCACTACTTTTCCAACCTTATTAAAAGTTGCATGTAAGCTTTTGCAGTATATTACAGCATTGTGTTGGATAACAGTAGAGTTCTAGGGTTTAGCAGCAATAACTTGTTAGTGTTTAGCCAGGATTTTGCAATTTTGCATATAAAATTGCCTTATGGATGTATTTGTGCATACATGAGAAATGAGAGTGTGTGGTGGTGTATTTGCTTCCTGGAGTAGTCTTCACACCTTGTTTCTCCGTGTTTAGTAACAGCTCTGTGTGTGTCCAGATCGCATTTGAGGACGCCTTAGTTGTGCAACAAAAAAACCCTTTCATGGCTAATGCGATGACAGTCTTGTATACTTCTGCCTTTCCTTTCAGTGCTTCTGTGGGGGGTTAGCTCTTTTTTGACCAACCTTGATGAAATAAAAAAAAATAAAAAAAATTGTTTTTGCCTTTTATGTTGGCTTTGCAGGGGAGAAAAGTGAATGTGTCCTAGAAATAAATGGCTTATACTTGAAATGAATCAATTTCAGGAAGGGATTGCTGCAGTGGTTACCTACTATTTTAATGAAATAAATCTGTATTTACAGTTTGTGGTAATTCAGGCCTTTCATCACTTTGCTGAGCTCCCATGGTGTTCATTGAGTGCAGCTGTTGTCCTCTGGTTTCAGTAGGCCTGGAGTGCCTCGGGACCCTAATGCACTCACCATCCAGATGTAGTGACACTCTCACACACACGCTGTGGAGGGCTGCCAGCATGGACACAGGATTGCATCAGTCTGTAATGCCCATCGTGTGCCAAGAAAAATTGCGACTGTCATATGGTCTGGTTTTTTGTTTCATGGCTCACCACTGATCCAGAGAAACTGTTGTTTTAATTTGCTTTGCCTATAGCCATAACATTCTCATTGAAGACCGCAGATTATATAACATGATGCGTAACCTTTGACTAGGATTTAAATTTAGAAATACAGGGGAGATTTTGGAAACTTTAGACTGTTTTAGTTACTCAGTTGCATAGCTGACATCGTCACTCACTTGAGATGGTCTTGCAGCAGATCACATCTTTAATGCATTAGTAAAGTCACAGAGAAAGCTGGATATTACTGAGCCTTGAGTATAGCTTTCCCTTGTCATGGATGGATAAACAACAAAACTTTTTATAGGCTAAATCCCATAGCCCCCAGAAATCTATTTGCCTTGGAGAGGAAATGGCTGTTCTACAACTGGTGTTGTATTTCTGCAAAGTTAGAAGTAAGTAAATTGTTGGAAGTTCCTGCCTTACTAAAGTTCATCAGCCACATGTTATGTTGTTTGTAGAACCCTGGTTGTGAAATTCTGATTTTTCCTATATAATAAAACATATTCTGTAGTAATTTTGTATATAGAAACATAATTACAGTCTAAAACTGTATGTTCTCATATATGCAAGTGTTCTTGATGCTCTCCATATTCACATCCAGTTTACTGTCCTAGTTTTTACCACAGTATAACTTTCTTGAGACATTTTCTATCAATGTGTTTTATTCTCCTGCATAGTAAGATGTTCTTGATAAGAAAAATGCACTTTGGTATGGAAGGACTCTTAAAATTATTCTTCATGTAGACTTTCTAAATAATTACATTGTTAATAAGTTGATTTTTCTGGGAATTCATAGTTGAGAGACATGCATATTGCCTCTTTAACAGCCTTTCAAAATAGTTGCTAGGAAGTTGTGTTCTGGGTTGAGTTTTTTTTAACCTTTTTAAAAAAGTAGATAGCTTGAAGGACTTGGTTTTCTGTCTTTTGATGCTGGAGAATGTAATTACTTTTGAACACATGAAAACAAGAGTTTTCTACATTTTTGAAAATATGGTGGTATTGATTTAGTGTTATACCTGTGTTTTTAAGTTTTATTGTTCTGATTGTTTTCTCCACTCTTTACATTCTTTAAAGTAATAGAACATGTGCATGATTATCAGTTACACATTTATCTGCAAATTAATAAATAAAACTGATTACCTACAACTGTTTATGGTATCAGTTTAAAACCATCATATATTGTGGCTCTACAAGAAAATCTGGAAGAATTTTAAAGGATGAGCTGTTAAGATGCTGTCCGAAGCAGCCTTAACACACTGAATAGCTCACATGCAAGATGGAAATTACTGTCACTGATGAGAGGCAGTGTAAGACCAATGTGTGCTGGTGCAGGTTTCTGGGAAGCTGAGTTATACACAGCATGAAAACACAAACTATGTACCTGTATGTCAGTTCTTGGTTTGTTTCAGCTTTGGTGTATGGGCTCTGAATTATTAATGCTGCACGTTAAGGGACAGCTGAAGTCCAACAGGTCTGTTTAGCTCCAGTGCTTTATTGCTGTAGTTAGAACTTGCAAACCATGCAGTGCCTGGTGGCTTCTGCAAGGATGCAGCTGTAACTGTATTCTCCTGGGGGAGTATTGTAGGTGTGCTGTTGGTTCCATGTGGGTTAGCTCACCTCTGGATGACCCTACTAGGTCAGTATATGATGCTTTGCCTGTAGTTGGGTTCTTGGGAAGGCACAGAGCTAAGATCCATCTGCATCTTGCCCCTGCTGTCATAAATCATAGTGGCTGGAAATAGGGAGCCAGTATCAGCCCTTATTTAAGTATGTGTAATTTAGCTGTCTAACTTAATTTAAATTTAGCTGACTTGACTGCAGCACAGCCACCGAGCTTGATCCATGCCATTGGACTGGTTTTGGGGGCATATGTTGCCTTCAGCATGACAGTAGGTCTAAGCTAGCTGGGCTAGCTCTGTGTGTTGATGATTGTAACCTACAGTTATCCATAGGTGTGATAAACATTATACTCTGAGTCATGCTGCGCTGCAGCTGTTACATGGCAGGATTCAAGATGTGGAATAGTTGAATGATGTACTTCTCTGTTCATATAGTTTTGGTGGGTTTTTTTCCCTTCCTGTTACCTAGAGCAATGGATTGTTGTTTGTACTGAAAACAGAGCTGCAGAGAGGTGTCTAAATAAAGTGAATGAGATGTGAGGAGCTGTAAGTGAAGCAAAACCCTTGGGCAAATATGACATTTAAAGTTTTGAGTTAGCTAAATTAGGCACCAGCCAGATGTTACTTTGCTCTGCCCAGCTTGGGTATAATGACAGGAACCCTATCTTCACATTGATGAAGTGATCTTGAAACACTTCTGTACTGGGTTAGGTGCTGCTATTGTGAGCCAGCCCTTTCACTATTGATTACAAGAATGTTATTTAGCCAGCTGTAATAAAGATAGATACTGACTTTATGAGCTGTATGAAAAGTAGTTTCTATTCTGAGATTTTTCAATCATTTTTCATGCTATAGCTGTCTTTTTGATATCACTGACTTCATACTACTTCAGCCATCTTCAGTCCTTATTATGTCCCCAACTCCAGATGAAGTGCTGAAAGTGTTAGATATGTGGATGTCAGGAGTTTTAGATATTTAGTCTAAATTTAAAATAAAATGCTGCACTTTTTGTATTACTTAAAAAAGTTCAAAACGTAAACTTGTGTGCTGTGTTGTTTTTGTAAAACTAGAAAACTAAAAGATATTCAGTAGAGGCTGGTTAAAAGAGTTGAATATCCTTTTCTCAAGCTATTTACCTATGAAGTGTGAGTAGCAAGGTGATGTACACTTACTTCAGTATTTGACAACTGCTGGTGGTAAGAAAGCCCCACATTGTGTTGTCAGGGTCAATTCTGTGTTTCAGTGAAATACTAGAGTAATGTTTCAAGTCATAGACAACATAGACTGTGACTATGTGTTGTGGTTTAAGATTTCTTCTTGATTTATAAACAAATGAACCAACCTAAGGGAGTTCCTGCATTACTGATGACAAAAGAATATCAAAGAAACTTTGCAATTTTTCACTTGAAAGCATTTTTGCCATAAAACGTTTCCCTTTTAAAATAATTTGTGTTAAATTTTTGAACATGAATGAGGTTCATGTTATGAACATCTGAGACAGCATATGTAACAAAATGTTCTTGCTGAAATGCACATAGCTTTGAAGAACTGCTGCTGTTGTGAGTTGGATGCAAGATTGCTGCTTTTATTAGACACATTATGAGCCATGAAGGATTTCTGATATCTATTTTGCATAGTTACCTGAATTCTGAATCCTGCTTTCTATTGGATAGGCTGATTTCACTTCAGAGGTGTGTAAATGTTACCTTGTAACATAATGAGAGTCTTAGAGAAGCTATAATTTTAAATTATTCTTTTTTACATTCTTGCACATCCAATTTTGAGTAGTACTGGCAAGCTACTGTCATTTTTGGTTAACAGACTCTTACAAGCAGACTTTTGGGAGTCACTTCAATATTTGTCCAAAAAAGCTTTTGTATGAGCAGCTTTCTCAAACTTTTTGAATACACAGTATGTGGTTTCAAGCAGAGTCTGTCAGAAGTCTCTAACTACTGATGGTTCATGCCATAACTCTTCCTGTATGAAGATAATTTGTCCCTTTCTTTTCTTCTTTCCTTGCCTCTTGCCAGGAATGGTGAAGTCAAAGGTGAAATTCATTCTCTTGGCAGCTAAAGTTTTGGCTTTCCAGTCCTTGAAATGAGATTGTATGTGTATATAGTACTTAATAGAAACCTCACGAGTATTTTGTTTTGTGTATTGCCAAAGCAGCTTTGGTCACAAAGGCACTCAAATAATTTTATTAGACACAAAAGAGAATTTTGTTGGAAAAACTATTTTCACTGCCAGAAGAGTGATGAGTTTTCTCAAGGGTACTTCAGAATAAGAGTTCTCCTACTGTACTGTTAGTGATCAAATTTGGTATACTTAAATGTATCTGCAGTACTACACATGGCTTGTGTTACTGAGTGGTGTGAAACATAAGCTGTTAGTAATTTGTGCTGTATGTTTGCTCTCCTTCTGATTCTAGGTATTAGCCTTTGCAACAGGGTCCCAAATGTTTACTAGCTGAATACAATCTATTCCCGTTCTACTTTAAAAGCATTCCTTTTAAAACTAGCTTTTATCCTACTCTTCAACCTAGAGCTTAAAGTTGTATGATGTCTAGTATTATGTGGATTAATCATGTGTCCTTAATTTTGTTGCTGGAGTTCCAATTGTCTCATGTTTTATTGTATTAGTGTTGCCTTGATGATGGAGTGCTCAGTTGCCCATTTAAGGATGTATTTGTACAGTCTTCAATTCACAAGTGATCTGTGTTGATTGGACTGTGACTTGTGGTCTGTCAGTCATTCCCATCACAGTGGAGTTGAAAATAGAAGTATATGACAATTCATCTGTCAGGGCAAGTTGATTTATTAGTAATTCTCTCCTTTCTGAAGAATTCTGAATTACTTTCATTTATTCCTGACTTGCTTGGATTTCTGTTCAGAAATTTCTCTTCCAAAATCCAAGAATTCAAAAATCCAAGTTTTTTCTTGACTATTTTCCTTCTCTTCCAAAGTATCTGTAGACTTCTGAATTAAACATTATCTTCAGCCCCATACAATGTTAATCTGAGGCACTTCTGGTGTGCGTGAGTCAGCATTCCATCTGGTGGTAGCTTCGGAGATGGAAAGACAGAAAGTGCACAGGACAGTAGGCATGGATGTGCCTTGCTTGTAAGGGCCATAGATGATCAAAAGAGTACCAACAGGAAACAGATTTGCTTCTAACCAAATATGTCTTTGGTGGTTGCAGCTAAACCAGTTTAACATCTCCATTCTGGCTTTTTCAGGGTTTTACTCTTATAGAACTGCATACATGCTTGAACACCCTGGTGCCAACCTGTTGGTCTGTCTAAGTTTTAGTAACTCATGAGCAGTGTATTCTTAGTTGTTTTTGAGCTGTTCTGGAAATGTTTTTAAAAATGTTTATGTTTAAACTATTACAGTTTTTTAGCTCTCTACCTTTTCATTCCCATCTTTTTTTTTGCCCCTTTTCATCTTTTCATTTCCTCCTAAGGTCAATCCTGAGAAGAAAGTGGCATGTTAACCTAATTCAGCAAGACATTCTCTTGTGCTTGAAGTCTTGTGCTGTTAATTTTTCTGTTGGATTTGGACGTGTTCATACAAGTGTTTCTTGTACATATTCTAGACATATCTGAGTCAATAAAGTAATTTGCTAAGGGCATCTCTAGATCCAGGAGTGCTTTTACTTCAGAAAGGTGGCATGGTCTCTTTGCCTTTTTCATGGCAATTTTATGTAGTCTGTGGTGTTTTCAGTGATGTAAAGGACCTGAAAAATATATTAATGTGGATGGTAGTTTTGCTGTTAAAAGGTTCATTTGTAAAAGTCCGAAAGAATCTGTCACAAGGTTTGAGATATGGTACTGCCTGGAAGGTGAACTGTTAAAATTTAACAGTTTCGTTTTATTAATTGCCATTTGTGCTTATACTTAAGAATTTCTCAGCCTTCTAAGTCACAGGTGACAATTTTAATGTATAAAACACCGTCGTCCAAACTTATTAATGGGGTTTCTTCCCTTTTAGGTTTGGTATTCACCCTGTGGCTGGCCGTATGCCTGGTCAGCTGAATGTACTGCTAGCAGAGGCTGGTGTTCCCTATGATATTGTACTGGAAATGGATGAAATCAATGAAGACTTCCCAGGTTAGCACATGTGCCATAAGCTTCCAGTAGACTGGGTGATTTATTTGATTCTGTTTTTGCACTACATGAGGATTTTAACAATAGAAAGTCAAGAAGTCAAGCCATCCAGTTTCTCCTTGTAGAGGACTAGAGGTCTTTTTTGGTGGGGGGGAGGAAGGGGGAGCTTTTTTTTAGTTGCTTGTAGCTGTGAAGTAAATGGCAAATGCTGTATCTTTATTATCTCTGTTACAGCCCCATCCTTGCAGAGGAAAATTATTATTCTTTAGGTCGCTTATTGTTGATGACTTGACCCTCTCATGTACTGCAAACCTGTACAGATTGTACTGGCAACTTCTTGCCTTTTTATATCTTTATTTAAAAGGCAGAAGGTTGCTGCTAAAGGTTTTTCAGAAGAATATTCAAAAGAAAAGCCAGGCACAAACAAATTAAAGAGATGTGTGTATTCAACCACATTTAAATATCAAAAGGTTTTAAATTTTGTGTGGTCTAATGAGTCCCTTGGGGTTGGACTGTGGATGTGTATAGTTTGTTAGAGGTAGCTGGCAGCACATTGAACTCTCACATAGAATTTTCTGAAAAGTTTGTAAAATACTTGTGGGAATGCTTAACCATTAGGGGTCCTTCTGCCTAGAATGTGCATCAGCCTCAGTGTTTCAATTTCAGGTTAATTTTTCATCAGTGTTATTTTCTTTGTCTTGCTGCAGAAACTGACTTGGTCCTTGTAATTGGTGCAAATGATACAGTTAATTCAGCAGCTCAGGAAGATCCGAACTCTGTCATAGCTGGAATGCCAGTTCTTGAGGTCTGGAAGTCCAAACAGGTGAGATTAACGAAGCTGAATTATCACCTATCTTTAGCAAGCTTTTAAAAACATGGCTTGTAGGATGAACTAACAGGATTCTTCCACTATTCTGGTTTCCACAAGAAGCTTTTCTCCAAGTTGTCCAACAAAATGGGCAGTGCTTTGCAAGTGTGATGCACTGTTAATGATTTTAGAATCATCATCATCATCAAGTGCTTTAGTGAGACCAATGATGACTGCAGTAGAAAGATCAATTAGAGTGCTTCTACTAGAATGTGATTAGAATAAATGGTGGTCTGCTTACATCACAGCCCTGAAACATTTCTGTACTAATACCTGTTTTGTTAAGTTTATAGTTGACAACTTTAATACTGAGGTGGAAATACAAGAATGAACAATATGCTTAAATAAAATAATAATTAATAATTTAAAACCAACAAACCCCCGCAAAAAACCCAAACAAAACACCAAAAAAATGTATGGCTGAGGCAAGTAGAGCACTTAGACTGTCCAAGTTGAACCAACAGTTTAGTTACCTTAACAGTTTTGCTCTGATCTAAAGTACATACACTTGTGTTTCCTTGGTGTGAAATCTTTGATACTTTGTTCTGAATGCAGTCCTGGCCTCAGTTGTTGTGTGGGTTATCCATTCAAATACTCAGTCACAGGCATATACATTTATCAGCAGTGTATGTTGCTATATATTGCAATTTGAGAAATAAAAATGGACACAGTTAAGGTAAAGTTAACTAATTTGACACTTAATAGGTAAAACTGGCTGATTTTTTTTTAATGTCTCATGTCTGTAGTAATACAGATGAATACTAAAGAGATTGTTGCACAAGTATTGATGTGAACACTTATCTGAATTTAATTGCTATCAGGGAATTGGACACTTCAAAATTAAAGTCTCAAAACCCTTCAATGCTACAGTCATCAGTAGACATGCTTGCTTTGACTTTATTACATCGAATAAAGTAAATGCATGTGCAATATCCACAATCTCTTAATCTGAAATATAGCACTGTTTTTAACAACAAAATGTTCCTGAAATTGATCTGGATATCTATTTTTCTGCTATATTAAAATTTGAAATACATTTTCATAGAGTGAGCACCCTGTTTTGGTCAGAGGTTTCTCTTTATTTGTGGAGGTTGGTTTTGTGTTGCCTTTGTGGAAGTGTGGTCGCTGTGCTTTGCTCTTTCAAACGTGAACTCTTTATGTGCAGGTCATTGTAATGAAGAGATCTCTGGGAGTTGGTTATGCAGCGGTGGATAATCCCATCTTCTACAAGCCCAATACTGCCATGTTGTTGGGAGATGCTAAAAAGACCTGTGATGCCCTGCAGGCCAAAGTCAGGGAATCGTACCAAAGCTAAATACTGATTTATATTCTGCTCATATTTCCGACTACAGTTTTGTCACAGAGGTCACAGAAAATGAGAGGTGGAAGAATCTCTCAATGTCCTAAGGCAGCTGGCTTTTGGAGAAGACTGCATTGACTCCTAGGAGATGTAGTTCAGTCAGGGGATATAGACTTTTCTAAAAAGATGGGCAGATTAGCCCTTCAAACTAAATCTCCAATGAGACAATGCATAAAAGAATGAAAATGTTCTTTTTAAGGTCAACATTGTGCTGTTACAAGAAGGAACTAATAACTCACACCCATCTTTAAGTAGTTACTGACTTCCTCCTCCTTACTGTCTGTACTTCTGTCATGGAAATTCACTAAAAAATACTGTGCCAAAACTGTATTCAGTCTTATCATCAAAGCTGTTTTTTGGCTGGTATGGACAATGCAACTGTTGATTTCATCAAAACTTAAAAATAAATTTCAAACAGATGCGAGCAGAAGCAAGTCCTTGCATGTCCCTTCAAACTCAGGACATTCTCTGAAATAGATATGTACATGATGTGAGATCTTAGCATAATGTTCTTTTTCTTTTGGGGATTGTATGGATGCTGTGAATCAGGAACATTTTAGGAAAGTCACTTTTCTTTAAAATACGGTTCCACTTTTTATGGTGCACACATATGTTAAATGAAACACAGGATATCAGGCACTTGCCAAGTAATCTTCAAGTCTGACAAGGAAATGTGCATTTACTTGCGCTGCTTACCTATTTTAAGCAGCTGCTAAATTCTCCATCATTTCCAGTCGTTGCCTTTTTAAGTGTCTGAGAAAGACTATGGTCCAGTTCTGCACAGGCAGAATGTCTTGCATACCTGATCTGTTCACAGAATTTGGACCACAGTGTTTCAGTTTATTCACTTAGTTTTTAATTGTACTTACTACTTTAGTAGTAGTGATGCTTTCTTGTGATGCTGAAAAAACCACGTTTGAACTCTCACTGTCTATTCTGTTCTTGTGAGATCCCACCTGGATTGCTGTCTTCAGCTCTGGGGCCCCCAACACAAGAAAGATGTTGACCTGTTGGAACAAATCCAGAGGAGGCCACTAAGCTGATCACAGGCTCTGAGCACCTCTGCTGTGAGCACAGGCTGAGAGAGCTGGGATGCTCAGCAGGGAGCAGAGAAGGCATCGGTGACACCTTGTAGCACCTTCCAGTACCTAAAAGGGGCCCCAAAGAGTGCGGGAGAAGGATTTTTCACATGGGCATGTAGTGACAGGACAGAGGGGAATGGCTTCAGACTGACAGAGGACAGGTTTAGACTAAATGTTAAATTCTTTGCTGTGAGAGTGGTGAGGCTCTCACAGTAAAGAAGGGTTCCCAGAGAAGCTGTGGATGTCCCATCCCTGGAATTGCTCATGACCAAGGCTGTATGGGGCTCTGAGCAGCCTTGTCTAGTGGAAGGCTCCCTGCCCATGGGATTCCAATTGCACCTGGATGGTCTTTAAGGTCCCTTACAACCCAAGCCATTCTATGCTTCTATATTTAAGATGCTGGAGTTCATTAGAATTATTCTAAATAAATAAGCTATTATTGGGACAGCAAAGACACATACTAAACTTAAAAGCCAGTGTTTTGATTGTTTGACTTTTCACTAATCTAATTAAAAGCCTGTTTAATTCCCATAAGTCCAGCAAATTTAAATTATGACATAGATTGCTGTTTTGTTTTTTTATTTTAGTAAGTATCCTCAACTGAAATTCAAATATTTGCCTAATAACATGGATTTGTCATAGTTCCATAATGATATAGCAGCTGTCCATGGTGAAAAGGCAAAATAGAAATCACTGTCTTTGTGTTAGAGAAGACAAACTATTTTGAAGAAAGTCTTGAAATTAATGCATCTTGGTTAAGAAAACAAACATTATTACACCATGCATAGAGACCTCATATAAAATACAGCATTTCTTCTTGGCTACCTCTGTTTTTATGTGAAGATCGCTTAAAACACAGATTTTGAACAGGTAATACATTAAAAATGTAACAATATACAGCAGATCTATCATTTTTGCAGATCTCTTTTCTATGATTTGACATAAAATTTTTCATGCAAGCACTAATATGTTGTATACTGCAGGAAAAGGCTTGTAATTTAATTTTAATTTAAAACACTGTGACAGCTATATTTGAATGTGGCATGTATAGCCTCTCAATTTCATTGCATTCAACTTTTCCTTCAGGTCTATAAAAATAGGAGGGAAATTGGAGAAGAGGGAAGACAAAAAATTAATTCTCCATCTCCCTCCCAGTTAAGCAAAATAAAAAAGGGGGATATGGAGGGATTTAACATGCTAAAGCATTAATTTTTGTCTTGTCAAACTTGAAGTATCCAGCTGCAGTACACATCATGTGCGTTCATAGATAGCTAATAAAAGATCTAGCTTTTCTTTAAAAAATAGCATATGGGGGAGGGGGAACACTTTTTCATTTGTACTCGGAGAAAAACCCCATTCTGTTACTTTGGATCAGTAGTACCATGGTTCTCTTTAACATGTGCTTTACCATGGAACAATAGATAATTGCTGAAGTGCTAATAAAAAGTCAGTTATTTTTCTCTGTTGTTCACTGTGTTTGTTTTCTCCTCTTGTTTTTCCTGAGTAGTTAAGGTTACTTTTGAAAGTTAAAAAAATCAAGCTGCCACCAAAGGATGTTGACAATGAAGTCTGTAGTGAATGGAAATCATAATAAAATATTCTTTTTCTTTGTTCTTTTCTAATTGCATTGGTTCTTTACATTTTTTCATTTTAGGTATGACTGTCACTTGGCTATAGTAACTTCACTTAGCTTTTCTAGTAAATGAAAAGGGTTAGACAACTGAGAGTGATTGAACAAGATATGAATTGCTTTTTCAAGATTAAAGAAGATAAAAGCTATACTAACTGACTGGTCTGAGTAAATTTTCCAGTGGCTGCAGTGTGAGATGAATACTATCCCTTTGAGCCAGGTACCATATAGATTTGCTTCTGCTGTTTTTTAGTTCTACAAGACTGTTGAGTTAATTGCTGTGATGATTTTAGTTTCTACCTTCAAAGTGAGTGATAAGTGAATAATTTTAGCCATCTGACAGTCTGTTCAGTAATATCACAAGTCTGACATGCAGCTTCCATGTTTTCCTCAAGTTTTGGTGAAGCCCAGACTGGAGGTCTCTTCCAGAGGCTGCAGCCTGGCATTGGCTCATGAAGTAACATGTCTTCTCTCTTGATGGAAAAAGGGAAGCATATACAGAGAGCCTGTGGGTTTGTACTGTGACAGAGGGTAAAGATCTAGCCTATGTCCTGTGGATCTGACTGCTGCTTTGAAGATTTTCCTCTCTCTACTCTATCTCCAGCTTCTTATTATCACCCAAGAGGTGTTTGCTCTAGCCTGACTCAAGCAGGCTATGAAAATCTGATCTCAGGTCATGGCAAAGCAGTGCAGCAAGAACGAGAGTATGCAGGACACTTGTCTCTGTTCAGCTGTGGAGCTTCTGCAGTTTGCAGTGTGGGTCCATGACTCACTAAGAACTTTAATCTTTGCTTTTTTTTAAAAAAAATGTATTTCTTTTAATACAAATTGTTACAGTACTAAAGCTACAGAGAAATTTAGTTTGGAAAGATCTGCTAATTTGGGCAAGTTCTGTGCTGAAAACAGATCCAATTTGATTAGATTGGTACCGGCTTTCATTTGAACTTCTTGGTGGAGATGTCAGCCTCCCTGTTGTTACAGTGTTCAATTCTTCCAGTTGGGAACAAATGATTTTTTTTTTTAATTGTAATTGGAATTTCCTTTTCAACTGTAATTAGAATTTCCTTTACAGGAATTGTCTGTAACATCAGGAGACCAATTTGCTCAGCTGTCTCAGTGTCCAGCAGCACTTCATACCCTTTAGCAGGCTGATGTTCTCCCCCATCTCTGGAATGCATTAATTGTGCAAGCATCCAGCCCCCTCTGCAATACCCACCTGGTGTTCTTATCTTAGACAAACCACACTGAACATCAGAGGAGGCTGAAAGGGAGGGGATGCGTGGGGGGAAGATGGACTGAAAACAGAACTGAAGCCCAACTACCTTTCATCATTTTTCCACTCTTCTTGAGCCAGATACTTATTTAGATCAGAAATTAAATTTATAAAATATGGTATTTCGAAGAAAGACAGTTCTTACTTTCTGTACTGAGAAGTACAAATTTTTTTGTGCTGTTAAATTGGCTTTGAAATTTTACTGTTTACAAAATGACAAGGTTTACAAAATTACAAGGTTTCCATTATGTGATCTGTCAATCTGTCTCTCAGATTCTTGCTTTAGTATATGATGTGGTTTCTAAAATTCCAATCTAATATGTCACATGTACCCCACTATGTTGGTATCATGCAGCAAGCATCATGATCCATTCAAACAGAGAAACTGGGGACTGAACCTGCTTCTGTATTTAAGTTTGAATAAAAATTCCAGCATTTGGAGTTTTATCCACTTGCTAAGTTTTGGATTCTGTTGCAGGGCACTGTTGGAGCACACAAACCTGGATGGTTTTGAAACTAAGCTAGAACATATATTAGCACCATGAAGGAACATTTAGTCTGTAGGACTAAGATTAGAGGTCATCCATAGTAAACATCCTCAAACAGATAGAAATGGATTTCATATCCTCATCAGAGAAGGCCTTGTTTGCTAGGTTTGTTTTTAGAGTGCCATTTGAGGTAGTCTTCCAGATCTGCAGTGCATGAGAAACAATAAGGGGATATATTTCAGTGTCTTCCATTCTAAGGCTCAGTTATTTGTAGTAAGTAAATGGAACATTTAAATTCAAAGAAACACACAAAATCAAGAGTGTTTTGCACTACCAGCACATGTGAGTTTTTGTGTATGCTTTCAAATGCTACAGGAAAACTTTACAAAAGGGGATTTGAGCAGTAGGAAATCTGTTCTGTACCTAAGAAGTGGAGTTCAAATACTCATTTCATAAGACTTGCAATGAGTATTGTTCCATCAATATGATTAGTGTGGGGTGGTTTATGAATAAACAAATTACAAAGCTTGCATAATCCAACTGCTCTGCAGCTGCCCAGAGGATATATTGCATTGCTGTCTTAGGCTGTTGTGATACAAGGCTCTTCCTGAGAGGAAAATACATAATTAGATGTTTCCATAAATGGAGCTTGTAATATTTCAAGCTCTAAGTTATCAAAAAGATGATTTTTTTGAGCAGCAGAAACAATCCTAAAATACTAATTTAAAGTATTAGTATTACTTGAGAAATTAAGGGACTAATTTATAGCCCTTATTCCAAGGTGATCATCCTAATGTCTTCTAAGGAAAGAGCGTTTTCTCCAGTTGCAATGATTGTGAGGAATGTTAGCTAATGAGAAGACAGTGATCAGGAAAAAGTGTTAGAGGAAACAACTATTCTGCTTTGTCTTTTTCACTTTTGCCTGGAGACACATTTTCCTTGAGAATGAATGGGATCATATTCTTCAACTGAACATATGAAGAGGTAGCTTTGTGTTCTTCCTTTAATGACAGTTCATCAGTTTTGTTTTACCCCATACACTCCTGGGCTAGACGTAGGCCTCTACATCACTTTGAAACCTGGCACTTCAGAGTCCAATTTTCTGCACAGCATATATAAATTACATGTTAATACCCATTTTTACTCGCTTATTAGAGAAATGATTGTGTAAATTCTACATTACTAATTTTTGAATTCACACCTCTTGACATTTTTTTGAACTCCTTAGACTGTACTTCTGCAAAACAGTTTTAATTGGAAAAGGATATGGAAAATAGCTGTTAAACCTTATTTATCTACAACTGTTTTTAGAATATTATGTAAATAAGGTACAAAATATGTCTGTTAATCATTTTGATAAGAAGGTCAAAATGGGCCAGAAAAGGGGAAGAGAATTATATGCCAGAGAATTAAAAGAGTCATGCTGTAAAGATCAAACCTCACAAGTAAGTGTGGCTTGAAATTAAGGTTATACATGATGCGGTTCTGTTAGATGTGCTAAGGATGATATTTACTAAGTATGATGTTTTGCAATTAGACATGATACTGTGAAAAAGGCCCTGTCTGTCTCCTGACCATTTTTTTCCTGTCCCTTGTTGACAAAACCCCATAAAACTGGTTATTATCCAACCATTTCCCTATGAAAGGAAGCAACAAAGGAACTGGAGGAAAGAACTGAAGGGGCTTCACACTCAATAAGAAGTGTCTTCTGAAAAAAGATTGAGGTTGAACTCCAGCACAGCATGAAATTAAGTTATTCTATTACATGGTCAGTCTAACCCATAATTTAAAAAAATCCCTAACAGAAGGGAAACTAACAGCTAATGAACATAAAAAGCTCAAGCAGATGTTAAAGCTGTCTCATGCAGTAATAACTAGCAGTTGCCTATTCCCCTTATTAAAATATTACAGATGTGGGTAAGAAAAGCCATTTAATTTTCTGATTTTACATTCTCAGAAGCTCATTTTTGTTGTGGAGCATGGAACAATGAATTTCAGTGTTCAAGAGTTTTATGGTGGATTTGTTGATGTACAGACACAACACAGGAAGTCTCTAATCAACATCAACAATCCTTATTTTTCACTATAATTTTGTCTCCCAAAATAATAATTGAATAATTAAATGTTAATTTAGTGAACCATATAATTTGGTGTGATTAAATTGTATCTGAATTTTGAAACCTGAAAAAAAAGTAAAATATGCCAACAATGTGCTATGTAATGCTATAATTTTCATGTCATATTGCTGATACCACACTGACTTATTTTTTTAACTTTTCAGAGATATTATAAGCCACACTTTATACTTGGTTAATTTGATCTGTGAAAAGTGTTAAGCTGATCCATGGAGCTGCTGAACTTTGGCTGTAGATCTCAGAACCACTTTCTTTTTTTTTTTTTTTTTTTATTTTCCCCTGCAGGATGATATAGCAAGTAGCATCTGTTGCCTTTTTACCTATTCATTCCATTTTGTGTTCTGTGAGAAATTATCATGATATTTTGTACTTAAATGCTAACTCTTTCTGAGGCATCTACTTTCTGTTGTCCACCTCGGGAACTAGTCATCTTGGCAAGTTTTTTATGGAGTTATTCTTACAGGAAACCCTACAATAGCCCCACCTTACTGCCCTGTATCTCTAACTCTGCTGCCAGTTTTAGAAAAGAGAAGAAACTTCCCATTTCTTCTGGACCAGCAGTGGTGGTTGTTCCTAAAATGTTACTTGCCCAGTGCCCCTTTGTCTTTACAGTGAGGGTGGTGAGGCACTGGCACAGGTAGCCCCTTATGTTCATTACAGCCTGGATGGGAGATGATATGAGTGAGAAGCTTGTTTTAATGTGGAAACATGCCCTAGTGTATTGTGTTACTTTGGGACTACATAGTATTCATGTTAGACATACGTTGCAATTTCTCAGTTTGTTAAAATTAATTTTGTTAAAAGCTTAAGTAAAACAATATTGGGATGATGTTGAGGTGACTGAAGACCAAAATACAGTTTGAAAACCTTAGTGTAAAAAATGGTGCAACACTGCACATAAAAAGCCTTGCTTTGGTTATCCTGCAGATGTGT